AGGTGATGGTGGCACACACCTTTAATCTCAGCATTGGGAGGCAGAGGCAGGTGGATCTCAGTGAGTTCGAGGTCAGCCTGGTCTACAAAGAGACATGACAGCCAAGGCTGTTACACAAAGAAACCTGTCTCAAAAAACAAAAAAACAAAACAATAACAACAACAACAAAAAACCAAAAGAAAGAAACCTTTTAGATTTAAACTGAGTTCTGCTTATTAATTATTAGTAGTCATGAACTTGAAGAATTAAAGTCTGTTTTGTTTCTGTGTACAATAGGGATAAAAACAGTAACCACACCTATGATGAGGATCAAATGAATTAAAGAATACTGGAACAACTGGTTATCCCCCCTACCCCCCGGGCAGAAAAAAAGAAACTGAATGCTGTCCTATGAAATCAGTCCAGGCAGTGTAAAGATCTACATGTTAAAAGTGAAAATAGAAAGCTTTTAAGCAGAACCCTGAAGAAAATCTTCATTATCTCACAGTAGAAAGTTTCTTAAGATAAGCATGAATTGTTTGATGAAGATGACAGTACTTTAAAATACAGAATTTCAACTAAGACAACATAGAGTGAAAAACTGCAGAAACAGCAGAAAATGTCACACATAAACAATGAAAGTCCAGAATACAGAAGCTATCGACCAACTGCTATATATCAGAAAAAACAACCCACTTAAAAACTGGCAAAATATTTGTGCAAGCATTTTAAAGGAGGCATTGGGCCGAGGGATACGACTCAGGTAGAGTACTTTGCATCATGCAGAGGCTCCCACACTACAGAAAAGTGTAAAGCTTGAAAAGTGGTACCCAACTTCACTACTGACAACCAGAAAATAACATCAAATTGGTGAAAATCAAAACATGATGTAAAGACGAGGTGAAAGAATTCCTGTAAGCTACTTGTACAAGTAACACCCTGGCACAGCTGAAGGCCGGTTTAGCATTGCTTGTGGGAACTAAAGACATAAGGGCTACTGCAGAGCAGCAACTTCATCCTTAGGCACCTGTACTAAGTAAGCATGTAGCAGATGTGTGCCAGTGTGTGCACAAAAGGCTCACAGTCACATTATCTGTAATATGGTTTGGGAATTTAGCTCAGTAGTAGAGTGCTTGCCTAGCAAGAGTAAGGCCCTGGATTCAATCCTCAGCTCTGGGGTGAGGCAGGGAGGGAGACAAAATAGCAAAAAAGACAAAAAAAAAAAAAAAAAAAAAGGTACCTGGCACACATTATTTGTAATAGACGTGTTGTAAAAGTCACGTTGCTCAAGTGTAGAGTGACTGAAGGAACACCGTGTTTGTAATGTGGACAGATACAGCAGAGCTCTCACTAGTGAAGACTTCTATTCCCTCTTGTCTGTGTTCCTTCTGTGGGTTTGCTTAAACAAATCAATGTTTTGTGTCTATTTTATATCTAACATGGAAGAAAATACACATAAGCACCCAATAGAAGATCTAATGTAATAAAGAATCTTCGTAGCATATAGGAAGTGCTCAGTGAAAACTGTTGCCATGAGTATAGTAGTGTTTACTGTAGTACTAACATGTCTGAGGTGGAGGCAGAAGGCAAGCCTGGACTAGAGGAAAACCTGTCTCATGTTAGCTAAAGGAGCATTATTAGCTCTTATATTTCAGTCTCTTAATTGTATCATGAGACATCAAGTGATTGAGCCGGTAACATCTGCATTTGTCCACATACACTTTAAAATACTCCCACACTGTCACAGAAGGGATAGGGCTCATGAGAGAGGGCCCTTCATTCCCTGAGGGTTTGTACAATTGATGGCTGATGATGCAGAAAAAGGTATTTCTTCTGTTGTCGTATAGACACTGGTTAGGTGCCCATGCTCTTGTAAATAACCCTAATGAAGCTCATTGGGTCACCCCCCACCTCTAAAAATAAATAAATAAAGACGTGAAAGCAGAGGAGGAGCTATGGGAAAAAGGGAACTGTTTGGGAGGGGGAAGAGGATGTGAATGTGATCCAAATACAGTATGAAAATGTCAAAATCCATTGTATATAATTAATATATGCTAATAAAAAGCTTTTAAAGACAATTAACTGTTGCAGGATGTTTGATCACACTGTGGATCCGGAGATTGTGTTGTTTATTGAAAAAAAAAACCCTGTTTCTAGTTGTGTCGTGGCTCAGCCCTCACACCCTTAATTCAAGAACTTCCTGCTTGAATATTGTAAACAGGACTATATAAAGTCAACCATAGGTCAAGAGCAAGCAACCAGCTGACAGGAAGTGAACATAGGATTATTAGGAAAAACCATAGAGTAAAGGGAGTCAGGAGGATGGATAGAAAGATGCACAGGAAGTAGAAGGGAGGAGGGACATTCAATTTGAGGAGAGGTGTTTGAGACAGCATAGGAGAAGGTGGTGGGAGGCTTCTGGAAGTAGGCTGAGGAGGAAGGTCAGCTGGGTGCTTTCTCTGCCTCTCTGAGCTAGCAGGCTTCTACCCCGGCATCTGTCTCCCCAGTCTTTATTGGTAAAATTAAACGAATGATTGAGATTTTGTTAAAAACAACAAATAACACTGGTTTCAAAGACAATGAACTGATAGAATATTCTAAATAAAAGAATGTTGTGGGGCTCTGGAAAAAAAAAAAACTGGGTGGTGGTGGTGTACACCATTAATCAATCCTAGTACTTGGGAGGCAGAGACAGGCAGATCTCTGAGTTCCAGGACAACCAGGCCTGTACACAGAGGAACCCTGTCTTCAAAAACAAAAACAAAAAAACTTAAAGATACATTTCTTTCAGAGTATGCTTTGCTTATAAAGGAGTACCTAGCACTTGGGAGGCAGAGGCAGGATCTGTGTGTTCAAAGCTAGTTTGATCTACAAAGGGAGTTCCAGGACTACACAGAGAAACCCTGTCCTACCCCACCCCCCAAAGATTAAAAAATGAGTGCTTGGATACGTTTTATAATTCCACTTGACTCTTTAAAGAAAGACCCACCCCTTCACACACACACACCATTAATAGGCTGATGTTCTTACAAGGTTTGACGGAGGCCCATGTCATACAAAGCTGTGAATATGCAATTATAGGAAATCAAAAATATAATAGCCTTATCAAGGTTTGGGGAAGGCCCATGTCACAGGTATGGATGCCAATATCTGTAACATAGATATTGTGTGGAATTTACCAGTAAATGCTGCTCATCACAATGCTAAAAATTCTCGTCCTTGAGCAGTCAGGTAATAAAAGCCAGTAGCTTGTTTGTTTCTCTTTATTTGACAACAGCCTATCTTGAAGTTTGTAACATCTTCCTTTACTGTATTCCAGGCTGGCTTCAGACCAGTTCCATAGTAAGAATCTGAACTGATCCTTCTGCCTTTACCTCCCAAGTGCTACCATGACACACCACTACGTCCAGTTTGGAATCTGTTTTTACATTTATTACAGAATAATAAATGTGCATGTCTGGAGGTCAGATGTTAACTTGTGGGAGTCATTTCTTTCCTACAGCTAGGGTCCTGAATATCAAATGAAGGTCAGGCTTAGCAGCAAATGCCTCTATCTGCTCAGCTCTTACAGCCCAATAATCTTTCTTTAAAAAAAGCTAGTGCTGGGCAGTGGTGGCACACGCCTTTAATCCCAGCACTTGGGAGGCATAGGTGGGCGGGATCTCAGTGAGTTCATGGCCAGGCTGGTTTACAGAGCAAGTTCCAGGACAGCTGGAACCATATAGAGAAACCCTGTCTCAAAAAAAACAACCCCCCACACACATACACACACCTTGTTAAATAACAAAATCAGTGCATCTTATAAATGACTTTTGCTCTGGGCCTTAGCATCATCCTCCTTGTACAAATTCATGTAACAGGAACATGGAGTAAATGGAGAAGCAGCAAATGCACAGCCTGAGCAGAAAGAGGTACAAGCAAAGGAGCACCCATAGGGCTGCAGGAGCAGAAATAAGGATGCTGGAGGACAGTGGTACAGTGAGTGCTTGGTATACTGCTGTCATTAATTTGTCTCAGGATCTGGAACTTTACCATCTGACAGCAAAGATCAACCCTAAGAAACAGTCTTACTTCAAACCACAGTCCCTGGTAGCCCTCTGCCCTATACCTGTGGGATCTTGGTCCGGCACTGTTCTTACAGGCAAGTTTAACGTGTAAGTTGCCTCTTTTGCTGTCTTAGCTGAAGAATAAAACCAACTTCAACATTTCTCATGGGAAGAACTTAGTGGAATGAATAGTTTTATCCTTCTGTTTAGAATCTTAACAGAAGCTAAGGATTATAACAGGTCTTTCTTTGGACCTCCAGTTCCTAAATAATGACACAGAGACTTACTATGAAAACTTGGCCTTAGCTTAGGCTTGTTCTCAACTAACTCTTGTAACTTAACCCTTTTAATCTATTTTCTGCCACGTGCCTCATTACCTCTCCTCAGTTACGTCTGACTTCTTCTAATTCTGGCTGGCGAATCTCGGCCTGATTCTTCCTGGAATTCTGCCCCCTCCCCACCCCGAAATCCTACCTATCCTCTCCTGCCTAGCTATTGGCCATTCAGATCTTTATTAAACCAATTAGAAGGTGCCTTAGCAGAGATACATCGTCACAGTGTACAAAAAGATTATCCCACAACAAAGGATTTATGGAGATGAAACATAAGGTGGTCCCTAAAAGGGAAATAAATTAAAATGTGATGGTCCTTCTCTTCAGATGGTTATGTTACCACTGGGCAACACAGACCAGAAACCACCACAACTAAGGTATTAAGAAACCCAGAAAAAAATAAAAATAAAAACTGAGGTGGTGATATACACCTTTAATCCTGCACTCAAAAGGCAGAGGCAGGGATCTGAGTTCAAAGCCAGCCAAGGTGACCTTGTCTCAACCCTATCCCTTAAATGATAACAGAAAGACACCTAAAGCCCACTTCAACAAGGGCCCATGGAAAGGCCTCTTTTCCCATTGTAACTTACAACATTATCTGAAATTACCCATTTCAAAGTAACAGCACACAATGAAATTTCAGTGCATTCTCAGCTCATGCTTTATTGCTAAAAACATACACATACAGGTGCAGTTTCAAACTCTCAAAACAGTTCCTTTTCCAAGGAGTCAAATGTCTTCAAAACTCCCAAAGATGCATAGATTAAGAAGCTGCCTTTTGTAGTGCTTCAAACATTCAGTGAAGCTCTTTTACATCACCTTGTATACATCAATGGCGCAATGGAAGATAACACGGAAGAGCAAGCAAACAGCAACACCTGTGCTTGAAGGGTAGATGTCACTCCACTGTCAGGGAGATTCCTTGAATATTCGTAATCCTTTTCATTACAGGAATGGGTGGGTTAAGGTTAATGCCCAGACTAGTAATGTTTAAAGACTGATAACATGCTGGCAGAAAGAATATCTGTTTGATCCTTGGGATGGGGTGTCAGTGCTGAGGACTGGCCCCAGGGCCTAAGTGTTCTCCAAGAGCTATATCCCAAGCCAAAAAAAAAAAAAAAAAAAAGTACATTTAAATTAAGGACACAGCACACCATTACCAAAGGTGTCAGAATGTTTAGAAAATATCAGTAATCGTAAGTATATTCTGACTTTGAAGGTGTTTATAAGTCTGAGCTCTACCAAATATACATTTAATTTTCCTGTGTGGTCTGTTTTAATTGACTTTAGTGGACTATTAGGAAGAGAGTGTTAGAAGAAAGAACTCTGACCTTACATCTTTCTAGGCTAGCATATGTATCATCAGTAAGATGCAAAGAACATTTCTATTTGGGATACATCACACACCTCCATTCCTGTATTTCAGTCAGAAGCAAACACCACACTGACAACTCTAATTCAGTTCTGAACGATGGAAGTTACCATTCTAGGTGACGTCCATAGCAAAGCTCCACAGAAAAGGTTAAAATCAATCTCAAACTAGTTTTCCATCATGTAACAGGTAAATTGGATTAAACCCAGTGAAACAGTTTTATCTGAGTTCTATTTAGGTCTTTCACACATTATAAATACTTTTCATTATTTGTCAAAACTATTTGTTGCTTGGATCATTTCCAAGTCAAGAAGTCTAAGCGGTTCTTAGCTTCCACCATGAGTTTTGGTAGTGCTGGCAACTGAACCCTTTTCTCAGCTAAATGCTCTGCCGTTAGATGACACTTCTGCTCCTTTCACCATCTTTGTTCACCCAAATACACATCTTTTTTGGAAGAAGAGAAACTTTTCCTGTCTATCAGGAATCAAAAGTTTTAGGCAAGATCCACACTTTGACCATCTCATCTAGAGTGAAACTGTAGCTCAATGGCTGTAAATGCAGCAACAAGTGCAATCAAAACAGCAACGGCAGTACTTCTGTAACTCTGCAGAGACTCTTAGTGCTGGGTCCCTTACAGATGGTCTGTATCAGTACCTTCCAGATCAGATGCCTTATTACTGAAAAACCGAAGTATGTGCACACTGATGCTATACACCTCCAAGATACTAATTTGTCTCCTGCAAAGGAGTCTAGCTATGGCACTAAGGCTGGCTTCTGCCTATTCAGGGACCGCAGAGCATGCATCTGGCTTAATCTATAGTTTTAAGAAATCCCAAACTTAGTCTACATAAACCTAATCGAGCAAGTCCCATAGCTGGTTGTTTTGCAAACTGAACACTTATTTCTGAAGTAAGATGACCCTACTTAGTCTATGTCCCGACTCTTCTGGAACCCTGCACCATTCTGTTATAGCAGCGTATTCAACATGCTTAGTTTATCTTGTATTTGCAAACATGCTTGGGAATAAATATAGCTAGGAAACAGAGCAAGCATTGCTTGCTGTATTCCTAACAGTTTGAATGTCTTGTGGTTGCCCCTTATTTATCTTGTACTTCCCATTTTTCAATGGAAGTAAGACAATCTTTAATTAGAAAACAAAAATAATTCAAACAATAAAACCAAGCTATTGGTTCAAGTATCTATTGCTTCATTATTGATAAATACATATAGAAAATTACTAGTAACTACCTAATAATGGAAATTCAACCATGCATTAAAATGTTAGCATTCTAGAATCAGTTATGGGCCTGCTACTATTGCTTACATTTTCAACCAGGCCTGGTTTTAATAAACATGCAAACCCTTTGATTCAGAACTGTGGGAAAAGCAATGATACATGCAAATTCAACTGAATATTGTCAGTCAAATTCCTTAGAGATGCAGTCAGGTACACTTATCTACTACAATGCTGCCTCAAAACAGAAACAAGTCATATACAAAAAGGCTAAACCGAAGACTTCTGTTTAGTTCTAAAAGGCTTAGCTAGAAATCCTGGCCCTTTGAGGATAAAGAATAAGTTGAAAGCCCTGGGAAAAAGGAACTGAGGTGACTGTCTTCAGGGAGCAGTAAGTTTTCTGGGTCACTTACTGAGAGCTGTAGGGGTGGTAGGATACTTAGGCAGAATGGTTTCTTTTCTGATTCACATTAATGAACAGCTCCCTGGGGAAAGGTAAGGAGCAGAGCTACAACAATGTAAACTCAAGCAGTAATGCCCTGAAATTTAGCATAGCCCTCTGCATTTTAAAACTCTTGGCCAAGGGGTTCTTCCAAAATGGTATAATAGCCAAGCAATGTTCTAAATAAACTAGAGACAGTTTGCTTGCATCTACAGCACCATGAGAATGTAAACTCCTGAAGGCTAGGGGGTCTCTTCATATTTTGCATATCACAGGTACATAAAGAGTGAACAAGAGACTACAGAAAGACCGAATACTAATTACCTACATACTTTTGAGACCACAAAATCTTGTAGCAGTTTTACACTTAGAACCATAAACATGGCCGTTAAGGGTAATTTCTGATGTAATTAAATTAGCCATGTCTCCATGATCATGCAGGTGTCTGAATATTGCTTGGTTGTCCCAAAACCTAACGTGGACAGGACAGGACATTTAAAGAGGAACTATACTCAGTATAGCCTTTCCCCTCCCCTTAGGCTTGTAATAAAATAATTCAAGAGAGAGTCTGAGATCTACAAAACTACTCTTTAACTTTTTTCCCCTGGGAAAACAAAGGAACACAGACCTAGATCTTTTCACTGTTCAAGTAGCTACGATGGACATGAGGTAAAGGAAGTGAGGAATCACCCCAGTTCCACATTGTATCTTGATGTGAGCTGTGTGATTCCTCAGATCAAGAAAGGAATGAGTTTGCTGGGTTCTCCTTGTTAAAAACTATGCAGTCACACACAGGCCATAAGCTTCATTACATACATGTATCAGACATACAGACAACCCCCAGCCTGGGTACTGCCCAGTCATTTTGTTTACCTTTAATTCCTAACTTTCTTCATCCTAAGTACAAGGAAAAGCCAGCAAGTTCTTGAGGCTCCCCCGCTTCCTCGGACACACCAATCACACACAAAAACAACCTTTTCCTTTTGGAAAAGTAGCCAGGAAGCCAATGAACAAAGGTTACAAAGCATACATCATTCTACACAGTAAATAACTACTAACAGAAACAATTTAAGCAAGACCCCCTACATGTTGGCTTCACTGGGACTGTAGAAGTACATTTGTTTCCAGATTAAGCACTAGAAAGATTTCAACAGCTGTAAACTCTAGGGAAACAAAATAGGGTCTTTAACACATATATGAAAGTTGGTATTTTTCACGCAGATATATTCATATACATTCATAGTTTTAAATGCTTTTTAACTTCGGATGTATTTTCCTTTTGTGGACTCTGTGAGACTGCAGAGGTCCACAAATTCAAATAGTAAGTACTCAACCATACACCTCTGTGAACACAAATTACTATACATGAGAAACTGTTATTGCTACTAAATTCCACCTCCTCAACATTTTTAGTTCATTTATGGCTTTTATTTTTTGCAATAGGAAATATCCTTTCCTATATACTGTGCTACTTTATATGCATTACTTTTTCAAGTTTTTTTAATATTTCCTTTGTTTCTTAAATTGAAATGCTTTTCAGAAGCAGATTCTCCCAGGCGCTAGCCACCTACTTGATATTCTACGGGGATCTATTCCTGGGTCCCTTACTAGACTCATACCTAGTCTGTGTGGGAAAAAAAAGTCACATTAAAAACAGTTTTACATTATCATACTAATATAATGCATGTTAATAAGTCCTAGACTCTCTTTTCTTTTGGTTTTCTGAGACAGGATCTCATGTAGCTCAGGTTAACCTCCAATTCACTATACAGCAAAGGATAACCTTGAACCCCTGATCCTCCTGCCTCAGCTTCCCAAATGCTGGGATTGTAGGAATGCACCACCACACCTGGCAGGCTCTAATTCTATAATTAAAACAAAACAAAACACAACCTACAACACTCCAGAAAACTGTTCCTTCCAAGTTTCCTAGGCAGCTTTTAGAGGTAGGAATTCCACTTTACTAGAAACTTTCTTTTTTAAAACAAAGCAACTACTTTATTTCCATAAGGAAAGTAGAAAAAAGCCTAGAGTACAGGATACTCCAAACTGCTGACAAGGTTCTGCAATTAACACATGCTGCAAACAGGAAAGGAAATGGCCACAGGTTAAACATTCCAAAGCAATTAGCATAGCATCTCAGACATGCAAAATAGAAAATAATTCTCTGGACACAAATAGGGAAAATGAACCCAAGACATATAATACAGACAATGTAAGAACAAGCTAGCTTCAAACTAAGAGAGCAAGACTTAATCATGAAATGAGGCCTTGCTTTGAGGACTGAAAAGCTGCAAAGGCAGTTATTTCTAGCTACCTTGTGAAAGGCTAACATTTCCCTAAGCACAATGTTTCTCAATGTGAACCCACATTTCTGTTCAGACATTAGTTGTTTTGGCCTTTATCTCCTATCCCCAGGGAGAATATCACAGATTCATACACGAAAAAAGTAAAGGTCAAGGATTTTCCACTCTTTTTACACTACTAGTTATTATCAATATTTCATCCTGAAGTTTAAAATTATACTAAATTCATGCACTAACCCCTAACATGGCACTACAATATGCTACCAAGCACTACTGCTTACAAAACTATACACATCTCAAAATGGAAGACATTGGTGATTTTGTTGTTCTTAAACAACTTGTAACACTTGTCCACAAGTATTAAAATATACATATATATATATTTATATTGCACATATCCCGTTTTTGTTTAGTAACTCCAAAAGAAAAACTGCCAGCTTACATGGAGAAGGGAGGAGTCCCGGCTACAGTTGGAAGCACAGCTCTAAAATGGTAGTTTTTGCTCTAGTAAGAAAACCCAAGCAAGACTATGAAATGGAAATGTACCGCACACCAGGCAACCACAACTGGCATGTCCCCAGGTGTGAAATGCCATCTGGTGCTAACAATGCAGGACACAGGAGCATCTTTGATAAAGCACACTCAACACCTGAAGGTTTAAGCTACAAACCTGAAGCATCTGGAGCAAAAGATGGCACCTCCTTGGTGTTGACAGCCCTGCCCGAGGGCCATATCCCATAAAGTTGCCCAAAGGCATCTATGAGATGCTCGGTCACCAGCTAGTTCCATTGTCTTTTAAATGAAAATATAAGTGGCTGGGGTACTTAAAGAGAAAAAATTGGGTTATATTTTTGTTTCATTTTGAGACAGGGTCTGTCATTCAGGCTGGCCTTGATCTTGTGGCCAATCATCCTGTCTCAGCCTCCAAAATGCTGTGGTTACAGGTGTGGGCTACCAAGCCCAGCAATTCAGGTTACCTTTCACTCTGTATTTCTCTAGTGTTTTATCATTATTTGCTCTCATTAAAAGGTTATTTATAATAAGTACTTTATAAAAAAAGCTTTTGTATAAATTCAAATTTGTTGCCCAATCTGAATAACCATTAGGATGTTCAACATTTCCTAATTTTGATCATTTCTATGACTCAAATTCACAGCACTGGGAAATGGTTCCAGAAATCAGCTCCAACAGCACCTGTTCCTAACTCTAGCAACCTTAAAATTCCTTCTCTATTGGCAACTATTGAAAACAACAGTTCACTCCCTTGTAAAAGCCTGGCATCCCATAAAATAGACTTCTGTTGATTTGGAAGCAAAGAGAGGTTTTCATGATGGTTCCTCATAATTGTTAAAGGAAAAATGAACACATATCATTTCTTATTGGAACTAGTTTTCTCAAGGTCTTCCCAACCCTGAACCTGAATTTCCTCTAAATCTACAGTGACTTGGAACAAGGTCCACACTTCTTATTTGACCCGCTTTTCTTATTTGAAGTTTTGTTCAGATCCTGAATTTCTTCCAAGAATATAGTGAACCGACCACAGGACTGGGAACATTGCTTCTGAGATCCATTCTCTGGTAAGAAAGTTCAATTCAAACTGGGAAAATTTACCTGAGTCCCAGAATTTCAGCCTTACATTACATTATCACCTAGAAAAATAAATGTCCAAGTACCCATCTTGGGATGAAGGTTATTTATGCTTTTATAACAAATGCAACTACATAATGTAAAAATCTAAAAAGTCAGATGCTGCTACATTAGACATCGCGACTTCTTTTTCTCAGAAGAGGATTTACACGCCCCCTTAGAGTTATTTTTTCCTTCACTACTGTATGTTCAAAGTGGAAGGCGAGTTATACCATAGGGTCCATCACATATCACACATGTCACTTTCCTTCAGCCACAGCCACATGGAAAACCGAAGTCTCATGTGCTACATGGGATTCCACAAAAAAGAATATAATCTCAGAAAACAAAAGTGGTGTTACTGGGCTCATTTTTCTTTTCTTTTCTGCTGTTTTTGAGACAGTCTCACCATGTGGCCAAAGCTGGACCCGAACTTCTGATCTTCCTGCCTCAGACGAGGCAAGCATCACCCCAGCCTGTTCTCTTTCCACTCCCAACTAGCCACAGGCCTAGCTGGTCCTTCCTGAGAAGGATGAAAAAAGCAAAACAAAATAGACAAAGCTCAAACACTTAAGACCATCAAATTGTCTGAAGCCTTCTCATAAATGACAGCTTTCTTCTCCAAGAGAAAAATCCTGTTAGAAAATGTGGATTTATACACATAAAAATGTGACTCTGCACATACACACACTGCAATGGTTTCACCCCCATAGGAAAGCAACCTTGGTATTCTGCCTTTTGCTTTTATCATAACAGAGGCTTGTTTTTGTCCAGGAAATTCTGTCAAAGGGTGAGCTAGGAATTAGATGATGTTTCTTTCACCTCCAATTATAATGAATATTTGGAATTTACCACTGCAGTCTCAACTGTGCTTATAATAGTGTTAAAACTGGCAGACTTAAAAACAAAACAAAACAAAATGAAACCTGAAGTCACCCACACTTGGCATTTGTTTAGTTTTGTTGTTTGGAGCTTTTAAAAGGAAGAATTCACGATGCACAACCTAAGCACCTATTTCCAATTAAACACCTTCCTTCCACTTGCAAATGGTGTCTTTCTTATGAAGAACTGCAGCAGAAGCTTCAGGCCAGTTGGTTTCTCCTGAACTCAGCAGGACAGCTGCATCCCAGACTCCTTTCTGCTGAGTGAGGTGGCATTAAGGAAAGGCAGGCAGGTAGTCTCTCCATTCCAAACCATGGAGGTGTGTGTAGACAAGACACCCGAATTTCACCAGGGGAAGCAGCTGGATCAAAGAACCAGGACGCCCCACTGAGAAGACAACACAGACATTCCTGGAAAAAAAACATCAAATTTCAAATAGGAAGATTAGGACAGGGACTCCTACGTAAACTTAGGTTTAAAATCAGTATTTAAAACACACACACACATGCACACACGAATATTTTAGTTAGGTGTGCTGTGTTCACTTGCAGCTTGCAGTACTGAGGCTCAGGCACAGGGATTACAGAGTTCAAAGCCAGGCTGAGATAGGTAGTGAGACCATGCCATAAACTAATGACATCTTTTCTATTCCTTAAAATGAAACCTCATGAGGCTGGAGATGGCTCAGCAGTTAAGAACACTTGTGCTTGCAGAGGACCCTAGTTCAGTTCCCAACATCCAGGAGGTGAATTAAAACAGGGCACACACACGTGGGGAAAACATTCATACACATAAGGTAAATCCAAAAAAAAAAAAAAATGTTTAATTAAAACAAACAAAAATACTCTTGGGCAGCACAAGTCATAACTCAATGATAAAGTGTGTGGTTTTGTTGTTTTGTTTTTGGTTTTTCAAGACAGGGTTTCTCTGGGTAGCCTTGGCTGTCCTGGAACTAGCTCTGTAGACCAGGGTAGCCTCAAACTCACAGAGATCCACCTGTCTCTACCTCTTAAGTGCTAGGATTAAAGGTGTGGTGTGCATCACCAGTACCAAACTGATAGAGTGCTTTTGTAGCATAAGGTAAGCCCTGGGTTCAAACCATAGAATAGTTTAAAATAATAATAAAAGTAAAAGTAAAATCCTGCATCCATTAAACACCATTTCAGCAGATTATAGTGGCATAAGCCTATAATCCTAGCGCCTGAGAGGCAGAAGCAAGAGGATCACCACATATTTAAGTCAACCTGGTCTACATGGCAAATTCCTGGACAGCAAGGGCTACAAAGAGAAAAATTGTCTTGAAAAAACCAAAAACCAAAAACAAACAAACAAACAAAAAAAAACAAACAACAAAAACCACCGAAAAAACAAAAACCCAGGACCTTGCATCCTAAGCAAGCCATCAACTCTAGTCTTCAGTTCTTTGTTTATTTGATTAATAATATTTATTTATGTATGAGTGTTTTCCTGCATGTATTTACACTACATACATGCCTGATGCCCATCATGTCAGAAGAGGGTGTTGGGTGTCATTTGGGTGCTAGGAGCCGAATCTGGAGGTCCCTGAAAGAACAGCCAATGCTTTTAACTATTGAGGCAACTCTCTAGGCCCTACAATGGTCTTTGTTGGCTAGCTGATTGGTTGTATTATGATAGGGTCTGTCTGTGTCAGCCAGCCTGGCCTTGAATTCCCAATTCTCCCACTTCAGCCTTTTAATTACTGATTTTTTTTTCTTTTTTTGGTTTTTTTTTTTGAGACAGGGTTTCTCCGTGTAGTTTTGGTGCCTGTCCTGGATCTCACTCTGTAGACCAGGCTGGCCTCGAACTCAGAGAGATCCGCCTGGCTCTGGGATTACAGGCGTGCGTCACCACCGTCCGGCTACTGAATTGTTGTGTCTCACTGTATAACCTTCTCTAACTCTGTGTAGAGCAGAGGCCTTGAACCCAAGAGAATGGCCTGCCTCTGCTTACCCAGTGCTGGGACCAAAGGCATGTGCCACTAATGTCCTGGTTTCGATCCTTATTACCTCAAAATAAAAATAATAGAACTGAAGTGGGTGCTGAGAACATGGCTTATTTGGTAAAGTGCCTGTTGTTCAAATGAGTTTGGATCCCAGCTTCACGGAACAGCACATGAGCATAATCCCAGTGCTGGGAAGGAGATGGGAAGATCTCTGGGGCTAACTAACCAGCTGGTCTAACCAAAACTGGTCAGCTCCAGGTTTAATGAGAAAACTATCTAAAAAATAAGGTGGGGAGAATACGATGAAGACACTTGACATCAACTCCTAAACTCCACAGCACACTCTAACATATATACACGCACACACAAATGATGCCTAGCTACACTTATTTTTTAATCAGTTTATATTTTTCAATTTAATTAAATATGAACGTTTTCTGTACGAAATGAAATTATTGGTTGGGTAAATGATTTATCATCTTACTGTATCTGCTTTGGTTAAAATATAAAATAGGGGGGTTGGGGATTTAGCTCAGTGGTAGAGCGCTTGCCTAGCAAGCGCAAGGCCCTGGGTTTGGTCCTCAGCTCTGGGGGGGGAGATATATATATATATATATATATATATATATATTAGAAGCCAGTAGTGTGGTCATACGAGCCTATGTGCAAGTTTGTACAAACACACACACACACAAACACACATGATAGATAATAATTATCAATGACTTGGTCTTTTGGTTTTGTTTTTTTAAAGCCTTTTTTTTTAAAAGACTGATTGATTGATTATATATACAGTGTTCTGCCTGCATATATGCCTGCAAGCCAGAAGAAGGCATCAGATCTCATTACAGATGGTTGTGAGCCACCATGTGGTTGTTGGGATTGTTGGGAATTGAACTCGGGACCTCTGGAAAAGCAGCCAGTGCTCTTAACCTCTGAGCCACCTCTCCAGCCCTCTTTTTTTTTTTTTTTTTTTTTTGTTGAGACAGGGTTTCTCTGTGTACCCCTGGCTGCTCTGGAACTCATTCTGTAGACCAGGCTGGTCTCGAACTCAGAGATTGCCTGCCTCTGCCTCTGCTTCCCAAGTGCTGGGATTAAAGGTGCACACCACTGCCCAGTGGTCTTTGGGTTTTATTTATTACAACAAATGTCTTACTATGTAGCCCAGATTAGTTTCAAACTCAATTCTCACCTCAATTTCCCAAATCCCAAGTGCTGAGAATAAATATGTGCCATGGTGTCTGGCTTGTAGTCATTTTTATATTTATCTGCTGCTGAAGTTAACTGTTTAGTGTTTTAATTCTATTGCTATAACAGTATTTGGAATGATTATCCCATTACTACTTACTTGCCAAGTCCTGAGTTCAGAATTCTGAGCTGAATATAAAAGCACCTAAGGTCACGAAAATATTCATCCTGTGTGCTAAGGTTCCTGAAAATCAAAAGAACAGAAAGGTAAGTATCATAGCTTCTTTTCTATTGCTGTGATAAGACACCATCATTTAAGTGAGCTTATAGTTTCAGAGGGTCAGAGTCCATGACGGCAGAGCAAAAGCATGGTGGTAGGAACAGTGAGCTCACATCTCTCACAGCAAATAGGAGGCAGAGAGACTCAACAGGAATGACTCTGGGTCTTTTGGCCCCTCAAAGCCTGACCCTAGTGATACATACCTCTAAGACCTAATCCTTCCCAAACAGTTCCACTAACTTGGGACCAAGTATTCAACCATGAGTCAATGTGGGGCCATTCTTATTCAAACCACCTAAGCAAGGATATACATAGCCATTACTAATACTACAAGTATTCCTATACAACCATTCTAAGAAAAATACACTCTCATAAGTATTCTAAAAGAATAACCAGCCGGGAGGTGGTGGCGCATGCCTTTCTTCCCAGGATTTGGGAGGCAGAGCCAGGAGGATCTCTGTGAGTTCGAAGCCAGCCTGGTCTACAGAGTGAGATCCAGGACAGGCACCAAAACTACAGAGAAATCCTGTCTCGAAAGAAAAGAAAAGAAAAAAAGAATAACCATAAAGTCACTCTGTCTACCTACAGTGGAACTAATGTTTAAAAACATCAACATTTTTGGAGAAGTAGTTCTGAAGCTTTTGTCCAACACTTAGAATTTATGATACTAGGGGGCTGGAGAGTTGGCTCAGTGGTTAAGAGGACTGACTGCTCTTCCAGAGGACCAGAGTTCAGTTCCCAGCACCCACATGGCAGCTCACAACTGTCTGTAATTCCAGTTCCAGGGGATCTGGCACCTTCACAGACATACATGCAGGCAAAACACCAATGTACATAAAATAAAAATAAATAGATCTTTAAAAAGAGTGGAAGGGCTTATTTAAAAAAAATAATTTATGATACCGTGGAGTCTTTCTGGAGGGGAAAAAAGTGTAACTGTGCACACACACACACACACACACACACACACACACACACACACACACACATTCCAGGCCTCTGCACCAACACACCCAGCATATGCCTCACCAATCCTGAAATCAGAAGCACAAACCTATGTTGAATTTAACTGAGAGTCAATAAAGGGGCCCCAAATTACAGAGATGCCCCATAAAATGAAATAAGAACCGAATACAAATATCTTACAGTACTAATACTTTGTAGTCACTCCAAATAATATTCTAACATTATTTCCAAAACTATAGTTCTTAAAAATTTATAATTTTTTTTTTTAAAAAAAAGCATCGTAAACCGTTCCCCTTAATTCTGGGTAAGATTTCAACAACGGTGACTTTCACTGTCAGCCGAAATGAATGCGCCATAAGGACATTATCAGGGCGCACAAGGACAACGCTGCTTACTATGGTCATAAAAGTTTGCAGGTGCGAGTAGAGGTAAAGGCTGAAGGGCCTGTCTGTAATACACACACTCAGAGGGCAATACCAGAGGGAGCCTGTTACCTCACATCTCAAGGTCAACGCGCTGGGGACACCAAACACCCAGAGCTGCAACAGGCCTCATTGTTACCTTAACTGATGACGCCTTCGGTAACAGGTCACTGCAGATGTCAAAAACAATGCGGAGATAGATATTCTTAGAGAAATAAGTGGGCGATGAACACTGCGGCTTCCAGACACAGCCCGCGCGAGTGCAATCGTGGAGGGCTGGGTTAAAGCACACAGCGGCCAAAGCGAAGGGCACAGGGAAGGGCGTGGAGCGCGGGAACGGAAGGACGCCGCGGCCACATACCAGGAGGCGGCGCGGGCCGACCCGACGCGGCGGCAAGGGAAAGCCCTGTACCGCCCAGGCCCCGCCGGCTCCCGCATTAGGCTCGTCGCCATCCCGTCCCGTACCACGCCGCCCCACCGGCTGCTCGTCACCCGGTGAACGGACGGCCTTCTCGGCTCACCTCACACGGTCCCGCACAAGTACTCTGCCTCTCGCGGGAGGCCCGCCCGGGCCCGGAGGCCAGCTGCCCGGGGAACGCCTCACTCCGCCATCTTTCCTCCTTCTCCGAGCCGCCAACCCCGGGGCGGAGACGCGAAAGGTCCCGCCCCACCTCTGAGTGCTGATTGGATAGCACCTTGCTCGCGCGCTCTCCTTCCGTCGCTGATTGGCTGGAAGGTACATCAATCAGCACGCTTTCCCTCTCTGGTTCTATTTTTTTTTGTTGTTGGAGCTGTATGCTCAGGTTGAAGTTAAAGAGGAAAGTCGTTACTGTAATTCACTTGAGGAAAAAAAAAAGTCCGCACGGAGGCAGTCTCATTTTCCAGTAAGATAGTGTGGCAAGGCCGAATAACTATTTTAAACTACCGTTAAAATAAATAGTTACTAGTAATTTCTGTCTTGGTCTAAAGGGTTTTTATCCCCGGGCTAATATTACACCCAGAAGAACAGTTTCATGGTTTCAGTTCTTCAAATTTTGACCCATTTAGAATCTTAAAAGCCTCAACGTAGCCTGCTGTTTAAAGGTCGACACAGGAGCGCAGTTTTCCTCACCTTTGAGGGCCTGTCCGCTGAGTGAGAAAAGGTTTAATGGCAATTTTGTTTCTTCCAACTGTAGGATTTAAAGATCCTTTAGCGATGGTTCCAGGAGAGGTAGGGAAGGCAAATAGCGTTACATTACTCTTCCATGCTATGACGAGAGTTCTCCTGGGTAAGCAGTGCTTGCTAAACAACAGGTTTATCATCTGGCCCAATTATAAAATCCAGATTCCTAGGCTGAACTTTCTGTGGGTTCAGACAAAACATGGTTGTGTATTTCCACAATGTCAGAATCTACTGAATAATAATAAATTCACAAGCTACATTGCTTCATCAGCTGCAACTTTACAAGTAGCCTTGATTTCCCTTTGTAGCTGGCAGATGGCAAAGACCTTGTACTGGCTGGCCTCATTCACTAGGTAGCAGGTCATCCACCATACTGGCTATGTCCTCAGCCCAAACACATGTTCTTTTTCTAGTGTTAACTGTGTATCAGATCATTATGCTTCACACAGTATTGTGTCTATGTATATATGTAGGCTACAGACCACCGACAAAGGATTACATAAACCTCTATGTTCAAAGACGTTTGTTTTACTGCATCCAGACAGAGTTGGTACAAATGGGAAAGAGTCGTTGTAGTTACCTAGATATTACTGAACCCAGTTAGAAAGCCATAGCAAACTGAAGTCAGCTGAACGGTGAGCTGCAAAGGAGGGCTATGGTGAGGTACAGGACTGAGTAGGAACACGGCAATTTCAAGCAGTGGGGCCTGTGCTAAGCTGAAGCCCAGAGGACAGGCAGAAATAGTCTTGTCCATCCTTAACTCACTTAACCAGGGGGTCAGATGACCACTGTAGCACAGTGCTGTTTCCTTCCTATTTATATGGGGTGAGGAATGTTCAGTAACGTTCAGTAACTCCTGCCTGATTTTTGTGTGCAGTGAAAACGTAGACCTTCATGCACGTAAGGCAAGCACTCACCTGAGCTCTAGCCTCGGCCCTCTATTTAATATACCCATATCCATGTTTCTTATCTACTTTTATTTTAAATATATTTGTAAGTATTTATTTTATGTAAATGAACGCTTTCCCTTCATATATGCATGCACATGTACCACTTGCTTGCTTGGTGCCTGAGGAAGTTAGAAAAGGGTGTCAGAGCCTATGATCTGGGGTCACAGATTCTTGTGAATCACCATGTCAAGTGCTGAAAATCATACCTGGGTCCCTGCACGAGCAACAAGAACTCTTTAACTGCTGAGCCATCTCTCCAACACATACTTTAAACCTTCAGCAATCCTCCCACCTCTGCCGTCTAAATCCCAACTTACTTGGTTAAGTTTGTTTTTACTTTTCAGAATTGGGCCGAAGAAAACTATGGTCTTTTTTTTTTTTTTTTTTTTAATGCATTGGTGTTTTGCCTGTGTATGCCTGCACAAGGCTGTCGGGAACTGTAGTTATAGACAGTTGCAAGCCACCATGTGGGTCCTGGGAATTGAACCCTAGTCCTCTGGAAGAGCAGTCAGTGCTCTTAACCACTGAGCCACATCTCCAGCTTAATAACTGTAGCGCTGTACTAAGTAATTCTTGAAATTGATTTCTCCAATATTATTAACTCTAGTCTTCTACATTTTTACTATATGGTATTCAATTATCATCCACTAACTTTCTTCTAATTTAACCATGTGAATACTATTATTAATATCAATAATACTGTGCCTATGCCATTGAATACTCTTATTTATTCACTTTTTTTTTTTTTTTTTGGTTTTTCGAGACAGGGTTTCTCTGTGTAGCTTTGCGCCTTTCCTGGAACTCACTTGGTAGTCCAGGCTGGCCTCGAACTCACAGAGATCCGCCTGGCTCTGCCTCCCGAGTGCTGGGATTAAAGGCGTGCACCACCACCGCCCGGCTTTATTCACTTTTTTTGGAGACTGGATCTCATGTAGCAAAACTGACCTTGAGGGGCTGGAGAGATGGCTCAGAGGTTTAGTGTACTGTCTGTCTGTTCTTTCAGAGGGCAGTTCAATTCCCAGCAGCCACATTGTGGCTCACAACTATCTGCAACACCCTCTTCTGGCTACCATGGTGCACAGATGTGTATACAGGCACTCATACACATAAATAAATTTTAAAAGATGATCTTGAAGTTCTGATTCTCCTCTCTGCCCTTCCCATGCTGGAATTACTGATGGGTGCCACCATGCCTGGTTTTATACAGCGCTAAGAATGGAACCCAGAACTTTGTGCATGCTAAGCAAGCACTCTCCCAACCAAGCTACATCCTCAGTCCTATTTATTTAAATTTTAAATTAATTTTAGATGTGATGGTTATTTTGTCAACTTGACATAAGCTAGAGTCACCTGGGAAGAGGTGCTGTATAAGAAAGCAAGATTACCCAGGTGGTGGTGGTGCATACCTTTAATCCCAGCACTCGGGAGGCAGAGGCAGGTGGATCTCTGAGTTCGAGGCCAGCCTGGTCTACAGAGTGAGTTCCAGCTGGTACTGTTACACTGAGAAACTGTGTCTCAAAAAGAACAAACAAAAGAAAGAAAGGAAGAAAGAGAGAGAGAGAAAGGAAGGAAGGAAGGAAGGAAGGAAGGAAGGAAGGAAGGAAGGAAGAGAAAGAAAGAGGATCAAGTCATGGGATGAGAACCCCAAGCAGTGCTCCTCTGGGATCTCTACTTCAGTTCCTGCCCCGACGTCTCTTGATGGATTGAAAGCTGTTAAGTTGAAATAAACCATTTCCTCCCACAAACTAGGTGTGGCCAGTGTTTATTGACATGAGGTTAACATCCCAAAGTTTTATTGTGGCAACTTTGTCTGACAAACAGTTAAAAAAGCTTTGCAGGGTTGAAGCGATGGCTCAGAGGTTAGGAGCACTTGCTGCTCTTGCAGAGGACCTGGGTTCTGGTTTCAGCATCCATATAGTTGTTCACACTGTTCATAACTCAAGTCCCAGGGAATGCAATACCCTCCTCTGACATCCATAGGCATCAAACACACACAGTAAATATATATACATGTAGGAAAATACTCATACATATGAAATAAATTAAAGAGACAGGCCTTGCAATATGTGAAGTGATGTGACATATTTACTTCTTTGCCAAAACATCAGCTTATTGGTGCTCATCAAACTGTTTTCCACAGCTTCACAAACCACATGGTTTCTTGTGAAATCCTTTGGAAAACATTACAAATAAAAGGAGGACCGTCTCTGGAGTCTACTCTCGCCTCTTTGGCACAGTTTGTATCTGAGCTTCCCCTTCCGTAGGGAAGGGAGGGAGTTCTGAGTGAGTGAAGTCCTGAGTGAATGTGTCGTTAGACATGGCTCCAGAGAACATTTTTTCTTTTTTTATTTTTTATTTTTGTTTTTTCGAGACAGGTTTTCTGTGTGTAACTTTGTGCCTTTCCTGGATCTCCCTCTGTAGACCAGGCTGGCCTTGAACTCACAAAGATCGGCTTGCCTCTGCCTCCCGAGTGATGGATTAAAGGCATGCGCCGCCGCCGCCGCCGCCGCCGCCGCCGCCGCCACCACCACCACCCAGCTTCTTTTTCTTTTTAAAAAAGATTTAATTTTATTATGTATATAGTGTTCTGTCTGCATGTATGCCTGAAAACCAGAATGAGATCCCATTACAGAAGGTTGTGAGCCACCATGTGGTTGCTGGGAATTGAACTCAGGACCTCTGGAAGAGCAGCCAGATGTTCTTAACTGCTGAGCCATCTCTCCAGCCCTCCATAGAACAATTTCACAAAGCTGTTACCCATATGGAAATGGCATAACATTCCTGGGGAATCTGAGAATACGTGTTCATGGAAACTGAGCCTGCTCCTGAAGAGACAGCTTAGAGACTAGCTAGCTAACTCCTCCCCCTGTGCTTGACCTCATACACCCAGATTCCTGGTTGTAAGGGTAGCCTGAGCAGAACCCTGCCTTGTCATAGCTTCATTGTATGTGTGCATGTCTGTTTGTCCTTTCTTTGTTCCCTAGACGCAGGACCCAAGCCAGCACAGCATCCTTTTCCACTTCTGACTTTTTGGTGATTACGATAACAGAAATGCCCTTGGTGTTAGGTACAAATGATTTCACAGAACAGTTATCTTTGCAAACACCAATTATAGGCTGTTTCAGCTATCCACCAAAAGATGCAACACATAACACACTTAAAATAGCACACTCAATCTTTGAAACTGATTCAATTTTGAGAAAATGACAAAATTCTCCATGGCTATTCTCCTGAATGACATCCTACAGGACATATTTTAATGGCAGGTAGAAATTTGTTCTTGTACTGTAGGCTGAGAAGAGACAACTCCTCCACTCAGGAAACTGAGCACCAGGAATGGTGGCACACACCTTTACTCTACTCGAAGAGGCAGAGGCGGTGAATTTTTAAGTTCATAGCTAGTTTGATCTACATCTTGAGTTCCATGCCAACCAGGGCTACACAGTAAGACTCTGCCTCATAAGTAAGTAAGTAAGTAAGAAAGTAAATAAATAAATAAGGAATCCAGGATCATGACAGAAGGGGCTTTTTTTCACAGTGCT